CCCAGACTGACGGAATCCCACCAAGCAGCAGCGGCCGTCGGCCTCGAAGCGGGGTTCTTGACGGACGCTTTCCAAGAATTTGGCTTTGCCCTTTCGTACGGAGCACACAAGACTGCTGCTGTTCTTACTCTCCGTGGCCCAGGCAGCAGGCGTGCCAAACAGGCCATATTTGGCAAACAAGGTTTGAACGGCCTTATTCCGGTGCTCCTGGAGGGCAGTCCCGGCGTCCGCCTGCCTCTTGTCAATGTGTACAGGCACTTGGGATGCCAACAAGCCCCTGCTGGAGCCTTGCAGTCTGAAATACGCTACCGGATAGCCCAAGCAAGAGCTGCCTTCTCCGAATCCCGGCGCAAGGTTTTCCGCAACCCGGCCATCAATGTCCGCCGCAAAAGCTTCATTCTGAGCTCAATGGTGCTGCCAAAATTATGCTTTGGCTCAGGATCTTGGGGGCCCTTGAGCCTTGGTGAGATGCGCAGCTTTTCTGGAGCGCTGTGGAGCTTCTACAGGTCCTTGCTCGGCATCGGCAGAGCAGACGCCCAGAACGTGGATGCCTCCACTTGCTTCTCGCTTCTGGGCCTACCCAGCCCCGGCGTGACCCTCCGTGTGCAGCGCCTGCTTTACCTTGGTCAGATGGTTAGAGCGGCCCCCCCGGAGCTCTGGGCTATTGTGCGTGCGGATCGAAGCTATGCCACCCTGCTGCAGAGTGATCTCCAGTGGCTGCAAGCCTGGACTTGGAACACCACTGGGCTCCCGTGCCCCGTTGCCCATTGGCAGGATTGGCTGGACTTTATCCTTCATCGTATCGGGAAGTACAAGGGCGCTATCAAACGGGCCAGAACCATGGACATCTGTAGACACACAGTTGTCGCAGCCCTGAACAGCCTCCACCGAGTTTTCGTTCGAGTCTGCGGCCCGGCATCAGGCACCACTGGCGCTGATGTCCCAGCTGGGCGTGCCCCCCTCACTGAGGTTTGCATACCCTGTAGGCGCGCCTTTACGAGCCGGCTCTCATGGTCGGGGCATTGTGCACGTAAGCATGGATATCGCTCCCATGCCCACTTGTGTGCCGTTTCGACCGTGTGTTTGGGATGCGGTAGGCAGTATGCCTCTCAGAACAGACTCAAGCGGCATCTCACCGCATGCAAACAGTGCATTGTCTCCTGGGGGCGCTTTAGGCCAGCCACTGGGTCAGACGCTGCAGAGCCATCGCACCCTCAGGCCCCTCCATGCCCCGTCCCGGGGGCAATGGATAACAGCCTTTGCCCAGAAATCAGGTTGGATGTTTCAGCAGGCTTGCTCCAGTCCATGACTGATAGCGACCCAACAGATGAGCAAGCTTTGTGGGACCTGGTGGCTTCTTACGTTGAGCCCCTTGCAACCCTTCGTGCGACAGTCCAGGCCTGGTCTGAGTCTCGGCCCACATGCCCCAATACGACAGCTACGGCTGAGAACCTTTTGCTGCTGCTGGATGTGGACCTGTTGGCTGACACCGTCCAAACAAGCAGCACCTCCCGAGCTTTCCCGCAAGACACTCCCCCCACCTGGGAGACGGTTGGTCCTGCCCCATTTGCTCTCAGCGGGGAGACAGCTGTTTTTGAGCTGGTTCCACCGCCTCTTGCTCGACTTGAGGCTTCTGACCCGGTGAGCATGCGTCTTCGTGACGCCCGAGCATATGTGTCGTGGTTTGAGGCAGCTTGCGCCAAGGTTGCCCAATGTCTCCGCACTTCAGGGGAGAGGCCGATTGTTATGCATTGTCCTGGCATCCTCCAGGCCCTGGGGCCTGCTGGTACATGGCTCATCGATGCAGGTTATACGCCAGGTGCATCAGGCTTTGCTTCTCCGCGGGCTTAGCTCGTGTTTCACTCGAATTCATCTTGCTAGGCGAGCACCCGAATAGGGTTCTACCGCTGTGAATGAAAAAAAAAGTCCTGAATCCTTCCAAGGACTCAAACCCCAAAGCTTTCGCATGCGTAAACCCAAGCTGAACCTATTCAACTCGAAGTCGATAAAACGACGAAGCCTTTAACATGACAAAAAGCTTAATCGGAAGCCCCTAAATCCCAAAGCCCTAAACCCGCACACACGCGAACACACACGCACACAAACTCATGCACTGCAGAGAGAGAGGTCAAACGAGTCAGGCCTAAGAGGCAAAAACCCTCAGAGAACAGCTAAAAGCCGTGAAACGCGCTACAGCGCGGGCTACGGCCCGCTGACCCAACCAACCCTAAGCCTCCAAAACCCCAAAACCCTGTAGACCCCAAACAACCTTCAAAACCCCCGAAACCCTCGGCGGAACATAAACCCCATAAGCTCTACCCATAGGCCCCATAGTAGTTCCTTTTTGAGGTTCATATTTAGAATCCAATAAGGTAATCCCAAACAGGAACTACTATGGGGCCTTTGGGTAACCCCAAAGCCATAAACCGAGAACCCGACGAGCGGCCGTCAGGCCATGAGTTTCCTCGCGGAGATGCGCCGAGCTGCCCTGGAACCTTCCAGTTCTCTGGCATGGTGGGTTTCGGGGGTTTAGGGTTTAGGGTTTAGGGTTTAGGGTTTAGGGTGTAGGGTTTCGGGGTTTGAGGGTTTCGGCCTGTTAGGGTTTAGATTTTCGGGCTCTTAGGGTTTGGGGCTTCGGGCTTTTCGGGTTTCGGGCGTTTCGAGTTTCGGGTTTTTAGGGTTTCGGGCTTTTAGGGTTTAGGGTTTAGGACTTTGAGGGTTTCGGGCTTTTAGGGTCTATGGGGCTTCGGGCTTGTGGGGTTTAAGCTTTTCGGGTTTCGGGCGTTTAGAGTTTCGGGTTTTTAGGGCTCCGGGCGTTTAGGGCTTCGGGCGTTTAGGGCTTCGGGCTTTTAGGGTTTGGGGCTTCGGGCTTGTAGGGTTTAGGCTTTTCAGGCTTTTAGGTCTTTGGGCCTTTAGGGTGCAGTGCTTCGGGCTTTTGGGGTGTAGGGCTTCGGGCTTTGAGGGTGTCGGGCTTTTAGGGTTTAGGGTTTAGGGCTTCTAGGGTTTAGGGTTTTCGGGTTTCGGGCGTTGACTTGAGAGGTTTCGGGTGATTAGGGTTTCGGGTCTTTAGGGTTTCGGGCTTCGGGCTTTTAGGGTTTCGGGCTTTGCGGGTTCCTTGCTAAGGGTTTCTTTAAGGAGTTTAGGGTTCAGGGATTATATAATATAGGTTTTACACAGCTATGGAATTTAGGGTTTAAGAGTTCCGCATGAGGGAGTGGAGCTTAATTCGTCCCTTCCCGTAGCCTCGATTCCCCCCCAAAGATCCGCTAACCTAGAAATATACTTTCGGGGCCATAAAAAATACCTGTACTATTTTGGGGGTTCCTAAGGAAAATTATAGTATACTATATCCCAAAACCCTATTCTAATTACTAAGGCCCCTACATTTCTCAATCTTTCGGCGGGTTTCTGGCGGGTGCCCTGAAATGCGCATCCGCAGAACGGACCCTCGGCCCTATAAGCCCTTGATTGGCTCCCTAAACCCCAAAACCCTAAACCCTAAACCCTAAACCCTATAAGCCCTTGATTGGCTCTGGAATTCGGAGCTCTAAGTCCCAAACCCCAAGCGCCCTAATATCGGGGGGCCTAAATACTTACCAATATTATGTGCGTTCTTTACTACAATTTTACTATAAAGGGCCCACAACCCTATTCCAATTATTAAGGCCCGTACATGAAACATACTCGAAATCATGCATAGGCACCCCAAAACAGTTGTCTTAACGTGTATAACTTATATACATCATATGGTTTCGAGTCGTTTGGGGGTCTGCATACCCGGAGCATTCAATCCTAAACTCCTAAACCGTCAAAGAACTACCTACAGTCTCCATCGTAGTTCCTTTTGGGGGGATACCTTACAAAATCCTGAATATATAATTGGTTAAACCAAAAAAAGGAACTACAATGGATACTATAGGTAGACCTTCAAGTCAATGTGCCAATCCGAGGTGTCTTACAGGGCGTGGCCATCGGCGCATGCTCCTGGGCTCGGCAAAAAGGGCGGGCAAAGGCTTTCCGGCTTACAGGGCTTTTGGGGCTTATCATCGGGGTCATAGGGTTTAGGGTGTCGGGCTCGTCGTCTTATGAGTCTTGAGGTGTTTGTTAGCAGTCGAGGATTCGATACTTCTTTGCAGGGGTGGGAGGTTTCATCTTAAAGAATCAATCAACCCTCCCCGAGCCCCAAAACCTTATGGCTTCAGGCAGCCCAAAGCCTCCTGTGATCGTTGGGCAAAAGCCCTGGTACAAATGAACCCGTATATGCTCCGTCCGGGCCAAGCCTAAGCAACCTCTGAAGCCCAAACGGATGTCCGTGCTCGGGATTGAATTGTGGATGCACTTTCCAGGGTCCTTTCCATGACATGACACTAGAGAAAGGCATGGCAACTACTGGCAACGCCTTTCCAGTCTTGTATCACTTCCATCCCATAGAAATAAGTTATGTTGAAACTTGTGCAAGCAGCGCATGCAACATTTATGTAGACTTGTATGTGCAATCCCAAAGGGTCCAAAGTACATATATAGTAGAATGTAGGGTTTCTATATTATGATATGGGAAAGTATCCCCATAACAGTGCCTAGGACCCTTTGGGAATGGAGTTTGCACAGAAGTTTAAGCTGCCACCTAGTCCGACCCATGGTCCGCTCAACAACGACTTCCTACTCTGGTCATCCAAGATCTTTCCTGCATCATGCTCGACTGTTGGGCTGTTGGTAGGGTTTAGGGTTTGGGGTTTAGGGTTTAGGGTTTAGGGTTTAGGGAGGTTTGGAGATCGTTGTTTGTGGCGCCTCGCCCAACCCTGAAAGCCCGTTGATCCAGTAACTCGGCTGCGGAGGTATCAAGGGCCAGGAGTTGGATCAAGGCCCGGCCGCCACGCAAATACGTAAATGGTGTCCTGTGCGTCTCTCTCTCTCTCTCTCGCTCTCTCTCTTTCTCTCACGCTTCCGGGCATGTGTGTGGCGTAAGACGGCATATAGCTGGAATTGCTGTGTTCGTGCTGCGATAATATCGATACAGGAAGCCGGGCGCAGCGTTCAGGTTCCAGTAATTACAAGATTTCCGCTGTGTTGTCCAGAGGAAAGGGGCAGATGCACTCGCAACCGTAAAACACTGGACACTCAGAGCTTGCCCTTAAAATTCTGAAACCCCAAACCGCCGTAGAAAGCCTCAGACAGATCCCGTGCTTTTGAACCCCATCTCCAAAAAACAAACTTTCCTCACAGAACCCAGCAACAGCCGGAAGTAGGATTTTCAATTAGCCTTCCTTGGGGTCGTTGTAACCCAACCTCCCAGCCCCATATCTAAATAATGGTGCACCGGGCTGCATTAAAGTGTTCCGTTTCCATGGTTCTCAACATCAACCTAAAAAAGAGTGTTGTTAGTAACCTACGATTTAGGTAGCTGGGATAGAGGGATTCACACAAGATCACTGAGCCCTGGACCAGGATTGGCATTGCACCAGGCATTGCTCGAGCAAGGAACAGTGCCGCATGCGATCACAAACAGCATCTCGGGCACCTGGTTCGGCTGTAGGATTTGCAGTGCACAGAGAGGCTTGGAATCGTACCCCTCGACTCCCTAACTCCTCATTACAAGTAGCTACAGCAACCCCATTTGGACATCAGACTCTTGACGTCTTTCTTTCACTGAGACATGTCATCATTCAGTGCTGTAACCTGACAGGTACGCGGGGTCATGTTAGGGCCACACACGCACCAAAGTTGCCGGGCGCTTTTCTGCCGGGTTTCCGGTTTAGAGGCCTTCGCACGGGATTCTAGGCGCTTCAAGACCAGTACGTACTTTGCGAAAGGGGGCTGAGTTCGTTCTGGTGCCGCCAACTCTGTCTGAAAAATGGCCTCTGAACCCACGTCTGCCAGCAACAGTCAAGACAGTGCTAGGGATTTTGGGAAGTTATGGAAGGAAAGAAACGGTCCTCAACCCATGCCTGCTAACGAAAGTCAAGACAGAGCATGTGCGCCTCTGAGAATGACATTCAAGAGCCACGCAGAGAAAACATGCGATGCCCTACTTTTCAAGGCTACATGATTCCTCGAAGTCATTTTCACACTGTCTTGACTTTTGCTGGCAGGCGTGGGTTACGAGCCCATTCCACATAATCCTGGTTTCCGAAAACGCCTGCGGTAACTTCTCAACGTGTAACCTGTGACCTGTTAGGGAGCCTTGATCTCAAGCCGAAAAGGCGTGTAGTGGATGTGCCGGAGACGTAGTAGTGTGAAGGGCACAGGTGTCCAAGGCTCCGAAAGTGAGATCTTCTGGCAAGCAGCAACCCCCTCTCCTAATCCCACTGCACCCGCTGAAAGCACCGAAGACTGTAGAAACCTGGCCCAAAACAACACCCCACAAGGCAGCCTCGTCTCAGCTTGCGTGCAACAAGGCGCATGTCATAAAGGGCTTAAGCTGCCGTAACAAAAAAGATCAATGTAGATGCCTCGAGCATTGGTCAGACTGCTCCTCCTCCTCCTCCAAACGGCTGCAATCCAGGGTACATGCGCGTGTAACAGGTGTTTGCAGAAGCACAGTCCGTAGCATTGTGTACAGGGTTTCGTGGGTCATGTTTGGGCACTGACCTACTGCACTATCTTGGCTTTCGGGCTTTATGACAAGGTCAAGGACTGCTGGATACGGGGAGTTGATACTATAGCAGAAGTACTTAAAGGATCATGGGACTTAGTAAGTAGGGTTATCATTAGGGTAACTATACTTATAACCCCAATTAAGGGACTTATATCCTTACTTACTAAGTCCCATGATCCTTTAAGTAGGGCCGCCCTGAAGTCGCTGCAAGGTGCATTTGGGAGGGAACGGGATACTACAGTAGTAGCTTCTTTTCTCGCATGATCCTATGATCCTGCAGGGTTCAGGGCTTCGGGTCAAGGGAGCTGAGTCCCTAGCTTAGGGAAACACGTGTATCTTGGCTGTGATGTGTTCCGCCGCTCTGCAGGGATGATCTTACCACGCGTCAAGGGCCTGTGCTTCTGCGTGAGTACTTGGGGAGTGTAGCAACAAGCGGTGTAATGGTGTCAATACTATTTCGTCGAGAGCGTGTCTGTGTGTCATATGCTTGCGTATTGAGTGTGATCGCACGTTCAACAAATAGCAGCATCATCTTGGTGCAGCACGATGCTCAGCATCAGGCAGTCGCACGTTCACAACCCGCCAAAACAACATCACAACACGGAGACACGCCTCCGTCAACAACATGCCAAGAATGCCTGCAACCACGAAGCTTTACCCCAAAGAACCTACCGTTATACGGAAATCAGACTAAGGAACCCCGAGAAGGGTTAGGCTCTTCAGAGTCCAGGTAAACCCTGAGCTCGACACCCGAAAGGATTCCGAACCCCCAACTCCCAAACTCTATAACATTGGGGCCGTAATAGATACCTATACTACTATTTTGAGGTAGGGTTTAGGGCTTAGGGTGTAGGGTTTAGGGCTTAGGGGTTAGGGCATCATGGTAATTCCGATTCTAGAAGTTCATAGAAACCCGATTTCCTGCCATAGAACCCCGTTTCCCACTATGGAAACCTGAGTTCCCACTTTAGAAGCCTCTATTTCCTACTAGGCACCCCTAAACACTAAACCCTAAGCCCTAAACCCTAAACCCTAAACCCCAAACCCTAAACCCTAAACCCTAAGCCCGAAACCCTGGACCCTAANNCCTAAGACCTAAATCCTAAACCCTAAACCCTAAGACCTAAACCCTAAACCCTAAACCCTAAGACCCTTTTTGGATTTGCAGGCCGCTGGGAGGAGGCTCTACGACTCGTCAAGACGAAGGGAGTCCTCAGGGCTCTGCCCCTTGGGCTTCGGTGAGCTTTTGGAGACTTTAGGACTTTAGGGCAAATTTAGTGCCTATTAGGGGCTATTAGGGGCTATTTAGGGGCTATCTAGGGCCTATTTAGGGTTTACAGTAGGGCTTTAGGGTTTAGGGTCTTGGGTTTTGAGAGGTCCGACTTTAGAACTGCAGGGCCTATTTAGGGTTGAGTGAGGGCTTAGGCAGGTTTTTCGGGTTTCGGGTTTCGGGTTTTGGTTTTGGAAAGGCGGGGCTTTAGGACTTTGGGGCCTATTTAGGGTTTAGTGTTGGTTTAGGGTTTTGGTTTTTGAGCGGCTGGGCTTTAGAGCTTTAGAACCTTTTGTGTTTAGTTATAGGGTTTAGGGCTTTGGGGTTTAGGGTTGAGAGGCTGGGCTTTAGGAGCTTTGGGTTCTGGGTTCTGGGGGTCTCAGTGGTGACCAGAGAAGCTGGGCGTTAGGGTTCTGGGCTTTGGGTTGAGGGTTTGCAGGGGTCTGGGTTTTAGGGTTCTGGGTTTTGGGGTTTCCGGGTTTTAGGGGTCTGGGTTTCAAGGTTTGGGTTTAGGAAATTATTGAGGGCTCCCAAAGCTAGCCTTCGAGTGATGGGGAAGTCTTGACCTGTTGGAACTGGCTTGGGGGGGGGGGCTGCATACCAATCTCCCGCCTGTGACTTCAATAGGTACCAGACGCAGAGGTGGTGCGCCCACGTCTTAACACATGCAGACGACGACTCTACACACAGGACTCGATTAGATCTTCCATGTTTCAGTTCCAGTAGAGGATGCGACCCTAGGCTCTGTGATGCAGGTGTCATGCAGCTTACACTCATAGGTTCCAAAGCCCGATCATGTACGGGTTTGTTACTAGTTTCCAGGAGAAAGATGATCTTCTCGAAGATACCCGGTGGGGACTTGCTTCAAACTCGAAGCCTTTGACCCCTAGCTCTTTGAGCCTTAGGCCACAACTTAGACTTGAACTTGCCGCCACCGCCCCTCCGATGATCCTGGACACCCTAAATAGCAGGATCCTTTTTAACAGGGAGAAGGGTTTAGGGTTGAGAGAGACCTTGAATGATGGGATCCTCACTAAACCGTGTCCAGTTCAGGAAAACCCCCGCCACGCCCCAACCCGAAACCTAATGCAGGGGCCTAAATAATTACCAATACTATTTTGGAGGTTCCTTATTTTGAAATATAGTACTAATCGGCCTCAAAACCCTGTTCTAATTATTCCTTATTATGGATTACACTACAAGGGGCCCCAAAACCCTATTCTAATTATTGAGGCCCCTATACCCTAAACTCCTTATAGTAGCTTTAAGGAACCCTGTAAAGGAAAACCACCCAAAACCCTATTGTAATTATGAAGGCCCCTACATTATAACCCCCCTAAACCCTAAACCCCAAACCCTAAACCCTAAACCCTAAACCCTAAACCCTAAACCCTAAACCCTAAACCCAATCAAGAACGCACCCCCTGAACCCTCAAA